AGAGAGAGAGAGAGAGAGAGAGAAGGGGTGCGAGGAGGAAGAGGGACTATCTATCAGTGCGTAGCGACAGGAGACAAATTTGAAATAGGATCCACGCTCATCTATCAATGTGATAAAATGTTAAGCGATAGAAAATCGGTTATTGAATTATTGGGGTGACACATTGTTGTGCAATGTGACTGAAGGAAGACAAATTTGGTTTGATTTTTGGTTAGGGGAAGAACAGTGCTGACACACTGATGATGGCGATATGAGGAAAAATGCAAACCACGATGTCCCACAGGGTCGGAGGTGAGATGCGTTACAGTTTTCTCAACCTCAGTAAGTTGAACCTGTTCTTACGATCACGACCTGTCCAAGACATTCACCTGCACAAACGATCACTTCCTACCCCCCCCCCCCCCAACCAGTTTTTGCGAGTTTTTTTAAAGACACATTATAAAGACACTGTCCAAGATGACCAAATTTCTAAGATAACCAATTTTCATCTCAACAATTGGGGGATCGTCTTGGACAGGTTCGATGGATGTATCTTTTATTTCTTCTTCAGAGATTGAAAAAAACAATTATCAGCAATTCGCTACTTTTGAATTACAAAGTCCTGTCCGTTCAGTACCTAGTTTTGAGGAATCTGACGTCAAAATCTTGGAGTTTCACAACATGCCAAGTTCTTTGCATGTCTTGACAGCGAGTCCGAATAATCTAACGACTTTGACAGAACAGATAGAACATCAATTAGTTTCTGACCTCATGGTCTTAGTAACTCAAAACGGCTAAACATGTCAAATATAACTTTGTAATTCTAAAGTAGCGAATCATTAACATCACCAACACCGCCACCACCACCTGCATCTATAGCACTATCACCACCATCAGTAACAATAACAACCACCCACGCCATCCCCATCGTTATCGCCGTCATGTTTACTTGCAAACCAGAGAACATATTTATTATTATTATATCAGTTCAGATCTGATAAACTGCTGTTCTGCTATTTGTAGACGATAAAAATGTTTCGAGCACCAGCATGTTTTCGGGACAGCCGTGTACGTGTAGGTGTCGCTAGACGGTGAAGAGAACATAGGCTACTACGTTTATCCACCCACTCTCACCTCCACAACCTCACACCCGATCTCTCTCTCTCTCTCTCTCTCTCTCTCACACACACACACACACACACACACACACACACACACGCACACAAACGCTCTCTCTCTCTTTCTCTCGTTCTCTCTCTATCTATCTACCCCCCCCTCCTCCCTCCTTCTCAAAACTGTAAAAAAAAAGATTAAATACCCAATCCCTGCGAGCGCCAACTCTCCTCCAACTCTTACCTCATCACGCATAACCCCCACACCCCCACTCCTAAAATAATATAATGCAACATAAATGTACATGATGGGTATACAGCTTACAGTAGGCACACGCTCTCTACTAAATTAAGCCACAATCGAAAACCTCAATTGATCGTGTACGTCAGAGGGGAAGTTGACTCGGTCTGTTTCCCCGTTACATACATGAATGTTGAGTGGTGATGCAACCTCAACGCTTTGTATGGCTGATATAGATTTGCCTCGGTGTGCTCTCCTTCCCCGCCTTTCACCTCCCTCACACTTGCATTTCCGTTTTTAAAAAAAAAGGGGGGGGGGGGGGAGGATCCATATGGTTTTCAGGCACAAACGCACACGAATACTATGTTTATATACACACAGGGCCATATTTATATACGCATACATAAATAGCGTAGTGTTGGAAAGACAAATACTACACATATACCACGACTGTTTGTATGCACTGTTTCTGTCTGTCTGTCTGTCTGTCTGTCTGTCTCTCTCTCTGTCTCTGTCTCTCTCTCTCTCTCTGTCTCTCTCTCTCTCTCTCTTCTCTCTTCTCTCATACATTTATACTGTTCTAGTCTTTACCGGTTCTCTTGAGTGGTTTTGGTTGCTTGAACTATCCATTACATTGTTTAGAATGTTTCTGGAGACGGATATACCCCCCCCCCCCTCACACACATGCACAATTTCTTTATTTCGGTTTCAAGCAAGTCTATTTGATTGTTGCTATTTTGTCAAGCTAGAAATTAAGTGATTACCGTTGGTACAACTATTGACGTACGTACTTCCGTTCACACTTTTTTTTTCTTCGTGGTTCTTACGACCTCAACAGACGTCT